TTAATAATAAATGTGTCAATATTGGTTCCTTAATAGTGTACCATACCAATGTAAGAAATTAACAGGGAATACGGATGCGGTGGCTCATGCCTGTGATCCCAGCACTTTGGGAGGCTGAGGTGGGTGGATCACAAGGCCAGGAGTTTGAGACCAGCCTGGCCAACGTGGTGAAACCCTGTCTCTACTAAAGACACAAAAAATTATCCAGGCATGATGGCGCACACCTGTAATCCCAGCTACACAGGAAGCTGAGGCAGGAGAACCGTTTGAACCCAGGAGGAAGAGGTTGCAGTGAGCCCACATCACGCCACTGCACTCCAGCCTGGGCGACAGAGGAAGACTCCATCTCAAGAGAAAAAAAAAAGGAAATTAACAAGGAAAACTGAATGTGAGGTGCATGGAAACTTTCTGTACTATCTTCACAACTTTTCCGTAAAACTAAAACTATTGTGTTTTTTTAAAACTACTGCACATACATTTTTTTCTTTTTTTTTTTGAGATGGAGTGTCACTCTTCTTACCCAGGCTGGAATGCAACGGCACGATCTCGGCTCACAACTCCGCCTCCCAGGTTCAAACGATTCTCCTGCCTCAGCCTTCTGAGTAGCTGGAATTACAGGTATGTGCCACCACGCCCGGATAATTTTGTATTTTTAGTAGAGACAGGGTTTCTCCATGTTGGTCAGGCTGGTCTCGACCTCCCGACCTCAGGTGATCTGCCCGCCCTGAACTCCCAAAGTGCTGGGATTACAGATGTGAGCCACCCCACCCGGCCTGCATACTTTTCTATCTAAACTAATTGTTATTATTAATGTTGGAATCTAATAAAATTTTGACTCATGAGTACAAAACAGTATCAGATTTCCATTGGCAAAAGTAGCTTCTTTTTTTTTTTTTTTTTTTTTGAGATGGAGTCTCGCTCTGCCGCCCAGGCTGGAGTGCAATGGCCGAATCTCAGCTCACTGCAAGCTCCGCCTCCCGGGTTCACGCCATTCTCCTGCCTCAGCCTCCCGAGTAGTTGGGACTACAGGCGCCCGCCACGGCGCCCGGCTAGTTTTTTTTTTTTTTGTATTTTTTAGTAGAGACAGGGTTTCACCGTGTTCGCCAGGACGGTCTCGATCTCCTGACCTCGTGATCCGCCTGTCTCGGCCTCCCAAAGTGCTGGGATTACAGGCTTGAGCCACCGCGCCCGGCCAAAAGTAGCTTCTTAACCTTTGTCCTGTGAAATACTCTTGAATTCCATGGGTGACTCTGTCTCTTGGAAATGGATAACCTAGCTGGTGAGGGCTACGTTCCCCCTTCATCCACAAGCAGCATATGAGTCTGAAACAAGGACTGTGCTACAAAGGGAAGTGTGAAAGGGAGTAATTAAGATTCATGTTCTGACAAATATTCCAAATTCAGAGTTCTTCATAATGGACAGCGCATCAGACTGAGGGTAAAAGACCTGGATTCTAATCTTGCCCATACTAATAACCACCTATACATAGCCTTTTACTTGTTTGAGCCTCAGTTTTCTCATCGCAAAATAAAAAGACCAGATGGTATGGCCAAAAATGTTTCTGGCCATGCACAGTGGCTCAAACCTGTAATCCTAACCTCAGGCCAGGGCAGGAGGATCACTTGAGTCCCACAGTTCGGACTAGTCTGGATAACATATGGAGACCCTGTCTCTAGAAATAATTTAAAAAATTAGCCAGGTGTGGCAATGTGTGCCTGTGTTCCCAGCTACTTGGGAGGCTGAGGTAGGAGGATAACCTGACTCCAGCAGGTCAAGGCTGCAGTGAGCCATGATCACACGCCACTGCATTCCAGCCTGGGCAACAGAGCGAGACTCCATCTCAAAAAGTCTCAAATTAAAAGTTTTTTCCTTCCAAAATTCTCTTCCAGTAAAAGGGTTAAAGGAGCTAAGGTATATGATGCACACTGAACTCAAGATCAAAACACATTTGTCAGGGCTTTTTCTTTTTGGCCTCTTAAACAACTGTTATCGAGATACTTTGGCTTAAATAAAAAATACGTGTATTAGACCAGGCTCAGTGGTTCATGCTGTAATCCCAGCCCTTTGGGAGGCCAGGGCGGATGGATTACCTGAGGTTAACAGTTTCAGACCAGCCTGGCCAACATGGTGAAACCCCGTATATACTAAAAAATATATATACAATAAATTAGCTGGGCGTGGTGGTGCATGCCTGTAATCCCAGCTACTCAGAATGCTGAGGCAGGAGAATTGCTTAAACCCAGGAGGAAGAGGTTGCAGTCAGCCGAGATCACACCATTACACTCCAGCCTGAGCAACAAGGCGAAACTCCATCTCAAACAAACACGAGCATCACATCCATGTAGCTCATCTAATTTTAAATTTCAAGCTGTATCATGCTGCTTTCACAAATACACAGGTACTATTTACTTCCCATGTTACCAAAAAGCAAACAAAAGTATAGCTAATAGTAAAATTAAAACTAATTAGTAGGCTGGGCACGATGGCTCACACCTTATAATCCCAGCACTTTGGGAGGCCGAGGTGGGCAGATCACCTGAGGTCAGGATTTTGAGACCAGTCTGCCCAACATGATGAAACCCCATCTCTACTAAAAAAATAATAATAATAATACAAAAAAATTTGCTGGGCGTGGTGGCGTGCGCCTGTAATCCCAGCTACTCGGGAGGCTGAGGCAGGGGAATTACTTGAACCAGGGAGGTGGAGGTTGCAATGAGCCAAGATCACACCATTGCACTACAGCCTGGGCGAAGAAGCAAGACTCTGTCTCAAAAACAAAACAAAACAAAACAAAACAAAAAAACAAACCCAGGCGCGGTGGCTCACACCTGCAATCCCAGCACTTTGGGAGGCTGGATCACAAGGTCAAGAGATCAAGACCATCCTGACCAACATGGTGAAACCCTGTCTCTACTAAACATACAAAAAATTAGCTGGGCATGGTGGCACACGCCTGTAGTCCCAGCTACTTGGGAGGCTGAGGCAGGAGAATCACTTGAGCCCATGAGACGGAGGTTGCAGTGAGTCGAGATCCCACCACTGCACTCCAGCCTGGGTGACAGAGCAAGACTCCGTCTCAAAAAAAAAAAAAAAAAAACTAGTAGACGGGAACAATGACTCACCCCTGTAATCCAGCACTTTGGGAAGCTAAGGCAGGCAGATCACCTGAGATGAGGAGGGTGCAGTGAGCCAAGATCATGCCACTGCACTCCAGCCTGGGCAACACAGCAAGACTCCATCTCAAAAAAATAAAAATAATTAAAAAAAAAAAGACTCCCTATGTACAATATGCTAATAATTTATCAGTAATCTTTATAATTTATATTCAATTTCCAAAACAACTAAAAGTGATTAACAAAAAATATTTGCCATTAATATCAGGTAACCTTTGGTCTTTTCAAAATATTAACATTCACTCATACGTACAGTGTTATGAAAAAATTGTGTTTAATAATGCAATCCACAAAATGAAAATGAAAAGTATTAAATTAAAATGCATTATTTTATTACTAAATTTTCAAAAATCTATAAGAGGTTCTAAGCACAACTGTTAAAAAGATATGGCCCCGTTAACGAGCACAGATTAGATTTCAGCAAGCACAGTAAAGTCGTAACACTAAAATTCCACTTTAAAAATAATCCTTGCCTTACTAGTTAGCTCTGACCCAAGTATATATACTATCCCAACACTAGAACTGCTAAAGATCTTAAAACCTATGACACCTATATGTAATAAAGATGTAAAAGACACTACCTAATTAAAATGTATGAAGAATGTATCCTGAGTTATTAAAGTAACAATTACAACATATATTCGAAGCCTTCCATTTCAGTACATACAGATTTGAAAACTCATTTTATTATGCAATGATGACATGAACTATTAAATCACACTGTTCTATAATCCAGTTTCAATGAAGTCTAGAAAAAGGCAGATCAGGCCGAGCGCGGTGGCTCATGCCTGTAATTCCAGCACTCTGGGAGGCCCAGGTGGGTGGATCACCTGAGGTCAGGAGTTCCAGACCAGCCTGGTCAATATGGCGAAACCTCCTCTCTACTAAAAATACAAAAATTAGCCTGGCGTGGTGGCACGCGCCTGTAATCCCGGCTACTTGGGAGGCTGAGGCAGGAGAATCGCTTGAACCTGGGAGGTGGAGATCGCAGTGAGCCGAGATCACACCACTGCATTCCTGCCTGGGCAATAGGGTGAGCCTCTGACTCAAAAAAAAAAAAAAAAAGAAGAAGAAAAAGGCAGATCATACATGTTAACATTTTTAAATGTAAAGTAAAACTTAACATTTTCAACATTTTTGGAATGGTCTAATGTCTAAAACCCCAACGTTAATACTTGTGTGCTCACAGGAAACCAAACATTGTATTCAGCAGGAAAGAGGAGTTGAACAGCTTATCTAAGAAACCACTTGTTCTTCAATTAGCTTTCATCTTGCTCTGGTCTTTTATTTTGTTTGCACTGCAGTTTCCTCATACATAATAAAAAGATAACACGTATTCAGTCAGGTAAGAACGATCCTCTCTCTCTTAAGGAGCAACCGTCCTCTCCTCCCCAACCGAGGTCAAGGAGAGTCCAAGAGAATGGGACCCCTACTCTGATCCAGGTCACCTCTTGGCCTGACCCATCTTCGGTGCCGGAGGTTGACACCCGCCCACCTTGGGCCTCCTCGCCTCCCTCCCGTAGAGCCTTCAGCCTACAATTCGGACCCGCGCCCGCCGCACCCTACGGGTGCGCCCGCGCGGGAGCCACCCCGCCCCCAGCCCGCCGGCGCGCGGCCGACGCGCGAGCACGACCCGCCAACCCGACGGCCGCCGGGGGCCTCGGCGCCGGTCCCACCCGGTCCCAGGCTACGCTCCGCGGAGAGCGCGGCATTCGAGACAGCGCACTCGGGCTTCTCCCGCACGGTCAGCGCTCGGCCGCCAGCAGCAGGCAGAGGGGCAGAGCCGGGTAGGAGCAGAAAATCAGGCAGCCCGGCCCGGGAACCGACCTGTGGAGACCGCCATCTTCTCCTGCAGCCCGACGCAGCCGCCCGCACGCACGCACGAACCGTCGCGCGTCACTTCCGGGAGTGGGCTGCTCTGCCCGCGTCATAGCGGACTCCGCCCCCGGCGGGCGCGGGGCTACCGGAGCCGTGACAGTGAGCACGTGGGCTGAGGGGTTGCGGGGCCTCGCTGCTGTTTCCGCAATTCCCTTGTGACTTCGCTCTCAAAATGAAACACTAAAGAATAAGTTCATGAGGGCCGGGCACGGTGGCTCACGCCTGTAATCCCAGCACTTTGGGAGACCGAGGTGATGGGATCACCTGAGGTCAGGAGTTTGAAACCAGCCTGGCCAACATGGCGAAACCCCGTCTCTACTAAAAATACAAAAATTAACCGGGCGTGGTGGCGCGCGCCTGTAATCTCAGCTATTCGGAGGCTGAGGCACCAGAATCGCTTGAACCAGGGAGGCGGAGGTTGCAATGAGCCGCGATTGCGCCACTGCACTCCAGCCTGGGCGACAGAGCGAGACTCCGCCTCAAAAAAGTAAATAAAAATAAGTGGGCATTGACAGATTTGCTTTGATAAATGATTCAAAAGAGTTGGACAATAAATTTGAACAGCTAGGGATGCTGAGGTGGGAGGGTCAGTTGAGCCCTAGAGGTGAGGCTGCAGTGAGCAGAAATCGCTGCACTCCAGCTTGGGCAACAGAGGGAGATTGTAGAAAGAAAGAAAGAAAGAAAGAAAGAAAGAAAGAAAGAGAGAGAGAGAGAGAGAGAGAGAGAAGGAAGGAAGGAAAAGGAAGAAGGAAAGAAAGAAAGAAAAAGAAAGGAAGGAAAGAAAGAAAGAGGAAAGTAATACAGGCTGGGGGCCGAAACTCACTTCTGTAATCCTAACACTTTGGGAGGCCAAGGCAGGAGGATCGCTTGAGCCCAAGACTTTGAGACCAGCCTGGACAATATAGTGATACCTAGTCTCTACATAAAACTGAAAAAAAAAAAAAAAAAAAAGGTTTTTCACATCCCTTGTAAGTTGTATTCCTAGGTATTTTATTCTCTTTGTAGCAATTGTGAATGGGAGTTCACTCATGATTTGGCTGTTTGTCTGTTATTGGTGTATAGGAATGCTTGTGATTTTTGCACATTGATTTTGTATCCTGAGACTTTGCTGAAGTTGCTTATCAGCTTAAGGAGATTTGGGGCTGAGAAGATGGGGTTTTCTAAATATACAATCATGTCATCTGCAAACAGAGACAATTTGACTTCTTCTTTTCCTAATTGAATACCCTTCATTTCTTTGTTTTGCCTGATTGCCCTGGCCAGAACTTCCAATACTACGTTGAATAGGAGTGGTGAGAGAGGGTATCTTTGTCTTGTGCCTGCTTTCAAAGGGAATGCTTCTGGCCGGGTGCAGTGGCTCACGCCTGTAATCCCAGCACTTTGGGAGGCAGAGGTGGGTGGATCACGAGGTCAGGAGATCAAGACCTTCCTGGCTAACACGGTGAAACCCCGTCTCTACTTAAAAAAAAAAAAAAAAAAAAATTAGCCGGGCGTGGTGGCAGGCCCCTGTAGTCCCAACTACTCAGGAGGCTGAGGCGGGAGAATGGCGTGAACCCAGGAGGCAGAGCTTGCAGTGAGATGAGATTGAGACACTGCACTCCACTCCAGCCTAGGGGACAGAGCAAGTCTCCGACTCAAAAAAAAAAAAAAAAAAAGGAATCCTTCCTTCCAGTTTTGCCCATTCAGTATGATATTGGCTGTGGGTTTGTGATAAATAGCTCTCATTATTTTCAGATACGTTCCATCAATGCCTAGTTTATTGAGAGATTTGGCATGAAGGGCTGTTGAATTTTGTCGAGGCTTTTTCTGCATCTATTGAGATAATCATGTGGTTTTTGTCATTGGTTCTGTTTATGTGATGGATTATGTTTATTGACTTGCATATGTTAAAGCAGCCTTGCATCCCAGGGATGAAGCTGACTTGATCGTGGTGGATAAGCCTTTTGATGGGCTGCTGGATTCGGTTTGCCAGAATTTTATTGAGTATTTTCGCATCAATGTTCATCATGGATATTGAGCCCACATAGCCAAGAAAATCCTAAGCAAAAGGAACAAAGCTGGAGGCATCACACTACCTACCTGACTTCAAACTATGGCTACAAGGCCACAGTAACAAAAATAGCATGGTACTGGTACCAAAACAGAGATATAGATCAATGGAACAGAACAGAGGCCTCAGAAATAACGCCACTACGGCCGGGCGCGGTGGCTCAAGCCTGTGATCCCAGCACTTTGGGAGGCCGAGACGGGCGGATCACGAGGTCAGGAGATCAAGACCATCCTGGCTAACACGGTGAAATCCCGTCTCTACTAAAAAAAAATACAAAAAACTAGCCGGGCGAGGTGGCGGGCGCCTGTAGTCCCAGCTACTCGGGAGGCTGAGGCAGGAGAATGGCGTGAACCCAGGAGGCGGAGCTTGCAGTGAGCTGAGATCCGGCCACTGCACTCCAGCCTGGGCGACAGAGCGAGACTCCGTCTCAAAAAAAAAAAAAAAAAAGAAATAACGCCACATATCTACAACCATCTGATCTTTGACAAACCTGACAAAAACAAGCAATGGAGAAAGGACTTCTTATTTAATAAATGGTGTTGGGAAAACTGGCTAGCCCTATGCAGAAAGCTGGAACTGGATCCCTTCCTTACACCTTATACAAAAAGCTCAAGATGGATTAAAGACTTAAACGTGAGACCTAAAACCATAAAAACACTAGAAGAAAACCTAGGCTATTAATACCATTCAGGACGCAGGCATGGGCAAAGACTTCATGACTAAAACGCCAAAAGCAATGGCAACAAAAGCCAAAATTGACAAATAGAATCTGATTAAACTAAAGAGCTTCTGCACAGCAAAAGAAACTATCATCAGAGTGAACAGGCAACCTATAGAATGGGAGAAAATTTTTGCAGTCTATCCATCTGACAAAGGGCTAATATACAGAATCTACAAAAAACTTAAACAGATTTACAAGAAAAAAATAAGCCCATCAAAAAGTGGGCAAAGGATATGAACACACACTTCTCAAAAGAAGACATTTATGCAGCCAAACAAACATGAAAAAAAGCTCATCATCACTGGTCATTAGAGAAATGCAAATCAAAACCACATGAGCTAGCGTCTCACACCAGTTAGAATGGTGATCATTAAAAAAGTCGGGAAACAACAGATGCTGGAGAGGATGTAGAGAAATAGGAATGCTTTTACACTGTTGGTGGGAGTGTAAATTAGTTCAACCATTGTGGAAGACAGTGTGGCAATTCCTCAAGGATCTAGAACTAGAAATACTATTTGCACGGTCAGGCGTGGTGGCTCATGCCTGTAATCCTAGCACTCTGGGAGGCCAAGATGGGTGGATCACGAGGTCAGGAGATCGAGACCATCCTGGCTAACACAGTGAAACCCTGCTTCTACTAAAAAATACAAAAAATTAGCCGGGCGTGGTGGCGGGCACCAGTAGTCCCAGCTACTCGGGAGGCTGAGGCAGGAGAATGGTGTGAACGCAGGAAGCGGAGCTTGCAGTTAGCCAAGATCACTCTGCTGCACTCCAGCCTGCACAACAGAGCGAGACTCCATCTCAAAAAAAAAAACAAATACTATTTGACCCAGCAATCCCATTACTGGCTATATACCCAAAGCATTGTAAATTATTCTACTATAAAGACACATGCACATGTATATTTATTGTGGCACTATTTACAATAGCAAAGACTTGGAACCAACCCAAATGCCCATCAATGATAGATTGCATAAAGAAAATGTGGCAAATATACACCATAGAATACTATGCAGCCATAAATAAGGATGAGTTCACGTCCTTTGCAGGGACATGGATAATCCTGGAAACCATCATTCTCAGCAAACTATCACAAGAACAGAAAACCAAACACCTCATGTTCTCACTCATAAGTGGGAGTTGAACAATGAGAACACATGGACACAGGGAGGGGAACATCACACACCGGGGCCTGTCAGGGGTTGGGGGCTAGGAGAGGGATAGCATGAGGAGAAATAGCTAATGTAGATGACAGGTTGATGGGTGTAGCAAACCACCATGGCACGTGTATAGCTATGTAACAAACCTGCACATTCTGCCCCTGTTGCCCAGAACTTAAATTAAAAAAAAAAAAAAAAAAAAAAACAAAACCTGGCATTCTGGTTTGTGCCTGTAGCCGCAGCAACTCGGGAGGATGAGATGGGAGGATCACTTGAGCTAGGAGGTTAAGGCTTCAGTGAGCTATGATGGCACCACTGTAATACAGCCTGGGCAACAGAATGAGACACTGTCTTAAAAAAAAAAAAAAGCGGGGGGCCAGGTGTGGTGGCTCACTCCTGTAGTCCCAGCACTTTGGGAGGCCAAGGCAGGTAGATCACGAGGTCAGGAGTTCAAGACCAGCCTGGCCAAAATGGTGAAACCCTGTCTCTACTAAAAATACAAAAATTAGCCCGGTGTGGTGGCGGCCACCTGTAATCCCAGCTACTTGGGAGGCTGAGGCAGAGAATTGCTTGAACCCAAGAGGTGGAGGTTGCAGCAAGCTGAGATCTTGCCACTGCACTCTAGCCTGGATGACAAGAGGTGACTCTCTCAAAAAAAAAAAAAAAGAAAGAGAAAATAAAGAAGAATCATATTCTTATCTACTGTCAAGCCACTCTAACTTGACAAGCCAAAATGAGACTGTTTTTCTCACAAAGGAACCTGACATAACAATCTAACTGAAATTTCTTACCAGTGCAGAGAAAAACTCTAATATTATCATCAAATTATTAAACTTTCCCCGTTTGTCTGCTGAGTTCTAGTGACCTCAGCATTACATACTTAGCAAGTCTCTAGCTGACCTATCCTGAATATCAATACTTCTTAAACACCACATTTATTATGTCCTTACTGATTAAGAAAACCTGCATTTGCTTCCTTTTGTGTACCACCAGATTGGTAGTAAGTTTCATATTGATTGCCAATAATGATTATCTGAAGAGCCATTTCTAAGACCAG